CAGTAGATGGGAAACAGATTGCTCCCTCGTGACCTTTTGTAAACCGTATTTATGAAAAAGAACCATAAATAAATTTATCTGGGGGGTGGGGCTTGATGTTGCAGGGCGGGGCCATGGTGGGGGATTTTTGACAAAATCCTAATATTAAACAGCCTAAACTCAAAACAAAAATTAACATACAAATGAAGACAGAGTTATATGCGAACCAATATATATTTGTGCTTTTGTGATTTTAGTTCAAGAATTTTTTCTTTAATATTTCTATTTAAGGGGATTTTACTAGATATTATCAACGCTGATAGGCACAAGTTTTGGTCAGTGCACTTTGGAGAATTCTCTCAGAAACAACAAAGTGCAGATGTACATGCGATGTAAATAAGAGACTAATTCATCATACAGTGCAGACAACATCACTGATTATAACTTATAGCTTTTTTAGAGTACTTACACTCACGCTAGACTGAATTCAGTGATATTCTTTGATAATGTAAATGTTCTTTGCTCGCTGTATAATTTGCTCGTTGTTTGAATAATCGAGGACATGCGACGTTATAATTAAACTTAAAATGTCTTTTTATTAAACATGATCAGGTTAAATACAAATTCAGTCTTATTAAAATATTTGTCATAATATGGTAGCCTACTTGCCTAAAAGGTTATGATGTGCGTAACGTTAGTTAATAGATTACATTAGGCTACAGTGGTTTGAGCGCGTCTGACCGGAGACTAGAGCGGTAGTAGCACCCTCAGCACCCCTAGTTCCCACGGCCATGCAAAGAACTGCACAGATACAGATATTATAACAATCTAGTGTTGTCAAAAGACCCGGTATTTCGGTACCAAGTCGGTACTAAAAAAATGAAAACGTTACGTGTACCGAATACTGAAATTTTGGTACCGTGACAGCACTACAACAATCTATCGATAAACACACCTTGTGTCCTCGGTTTCTGTTTGAGTCTGCTCGCGCTGCGCCGCCGCGGTCTGCGGATTGAAGAGCGCGCTGAAAGACGGGGAGGAGACGAAGTCTGCCGCCGTTTTCATATGAAATTTAAATGGGACTGACTCTGAGGCGATCACGAGTTTGTGTACAGTTTACGGAGCTAATCGCTATGGCCCCGCTAAAAATGGCCTAGCAACGCCCATGCTTCTTACGGCCATTTCGGAGAACCAGGACAAATATTTAAATGGATTGCTCAGGCATTAAAGTGGCACCGAAATGAGGCACCGAAATCTGCACTCTGATTCGGTTCTAGTACATACCGGTTACATATGTACCGGTGCCAAACGGTACCCAACCCTAAAAATCAGACGGTTAATTGTGGTTTTAAACTATACTTTATGGTCAGAACACAACAAACACTTCACGTTTTTTAATTCTTTACACTTTTCCAGTCATTTTTCCTTAAAATAAATATTAATAATAAATAAAAGAAATAATAAAAAAATATTTATTAGTTCTGCATGTTCTAGTAATGAGTAATATTGTTTCAAATCAAGAAACGGGTTTGTGTTGCCTGAACATAATAATAATTTAACATTTTTTGTCTCTTAGAAATACACATTTGATAGTAGCTTGAGTTGCTGGTATCTGTACCGAATACTGAAATTTTGGTACCGTGACAGCACTACAACAATCTATCGATAAACACACCTTGTGTCCTCGGTTTCTGTTTGAGTCTGCTCGCGCTGCGCCGCCGCGGTCTGCGGATTGAAGAGCGCGCTGAAAGACGGGGAGGAGACGAAGTCTGCCGCCGTTTTCATATGAAATTTAAAGGGGACTGACTCTGAGGCGATCACAAATTTGTGTACAGTTTATGGAGCCCCGCTAAAAATGGCCTAGCGACGCCCATGCTTCTTACGGCCATTTCGGAGAACCAGGACAAATATTTAAATGGATTGCTCAGGCATTAAAGTGGCACCGAAATGAGGCACCGAAATCTGCACTCTGATTCGGTTCTAGTACATACCGGTTACATATGTACCGGTGCCAAACGGTACCCAACCCTAAAAATCAGACGGTTAATTGTGGTTTTAAACTATACTTTATGGTCAGAACACAACAAACACTTCACGTTTTTTAATTCTTTACACTTTTCCAGTCATTTTTCCTTAAAATAAATATTAATAATAAATAAAAGAAATAATAAAAAAATATTTATTAGTTCTGCATGTTCTAGTAATGAGTAATATTGTTTCAAATCAAGAAACGGGTTTGTGTTGCCTGAACATAATAATAATTTAACATTTTTTGTCTCTTAGAAATACACATTTGATAGTAGCTTGAGTTGGGATGCAGATCTAGATTTATGTTCATTATCAAAATCAGTAATATCTGTAAAAACTGTAGCAACCTCATTTTTATATGGTGAGATTTAATTATAAGACTGTTTGAGGTTTTTTTTATTTTTATTAACCACTGGTCTTCCATAGTAGCATACATTTAGATCATGATAATCACAGTTAAAACCACAAATATAGCACCTCAATAACATGGTAAAAATGTAATATGGTTTTTAGGTATTTGTATGAAAAACAGTAGTCTAAATACATTTAGTATTAATGCATAAACGCCATAGCTTAATCACAAAAAATACTGTAATTATATTCCATTACTCCTCCATCAATACATTTAATACATGTCTACATTAATAATATAACAAAATTCGACAGGAATACCCACAGTTCTGGTTAGTGCTACTACAGTAAAACTATGGTAAATGATGGTGATTTGTAGATGAAAAAGTCTTCTGACTGTATGGTTGCGCACAGTGTTTGTCAGTGCGGTTTCATCTGGCTATAAACTGAATTATTTGTGTTCCTCGCTGAACTCAAGCGCTTCACACTGCATCTCACAGCGCTGTTTAGCGTCGCGCATCTAGTCTAGTGAGCTAGCTTTAACTTCTGCTTTAAAAGCAGTATTTTTATTTTTAGATTGTCATGTTACAATGTTAGAATGAAATCCAATTTTGCACAAAATATATAAGCTTACACTGTTACATTCACTTTATTAGTTTTCATAGCCTTTAATATGTATTGTTTCGTTGGACAACATTGGGCGGTATGCAAAATATATATTAAATAAAGATTAAAAAAAAACAAAAATCCAGATACAAAAACAGAAATACCGAGATATATACAGTATATCACAAATCGGCCAAAAAATACCGAGATATGAATTTTTGCCCATATCGCCCAGCCCTACTTCTTACACAGACTAAGGCACGCAACATGTTATTTTATAGTATTCCAAGCAGTGGTAAAGGCTGTGTCGATTAGCATTACATTATAACATTATAAATATACTTTATGATGAAAATTATAAAAAGAACTCAGATAAATGATATATTGTCATAGTCCTGTGTTTATTACTCGCGTTGAATCAATGAAAGCGGTTCAATCTTCTTTTAATTCAGCTGTAGCGATAGGGATTTCCTGGAACGATGTGCATTGCCTTTCTTCTGCGGTGCATATTTGCAGTTTCAGCGCGAGAGCGCCCTCTGGCCTTCGGATGAAGCAGTATTTATAATAATAATAATAATAATAATAATAATGATCATAAAGTGCTTTATATTGTGAGGGGGATCTGCTCATCCAACAGCAGCAGATTTACTACTGATCACAGAACCATGCTTCACTGACAAGCTGTGCTTGACTGAATAACCTTTGTAGCTTTATTATGAACCAATGTATATTCATTAATGTGAAGACTGTGCAGTGTTTTAGTTTTACATTTGATTATTCAGTTTCTTACTTGAATGCTACTGTTATATCTAATGTAATCCTGCGCCCAAAGTTAAAGCACTGTTTTTTAATTTGTATCTTTTAGTTTAGTTTTTTAGATTTGTGACATTGCTTTTTAAGTAATGCTAAAACACTGCTGGTCACATTCAGAAGTAGTAGTGATGCTTTCTTTTCCGAGAAAGAATGTGAAACATATACATACTGTAGGTTATATATTTTTTAGTTTTGAAATATTTTTTAAATATCATTTAAATAGATTTTACAAATGTAAAGCAATATCGTATCGCATATTGAATATCGCATTATTTAACAGGGTATATCGCATATTGCATTTTTCTTCAACATCACACAGCCCTAGCCCTCATGTCATTCCAAAGCCCATAAGAAAGTTCATCTTTGGAACAAAATTGAAGATATTTTTAATGAAATATTCTTCCATCCCTCCAATGAAAGCATGTTTGCTCAAAACTCTTAAAACATTCGTGAAGAGAATCAAACAATAAATCTGAATGGAGCGGTTTAATCCAAGTCTTCTGAAGAGATTCAAAGTCTTTATATGATGAACAGATTTAATTTAGGCTTTTCTTCACATATAAACATTGATCAGCAAGCATAAACAGAAGCTCATCTGTATGGTTCTTGAGAGTTAAACAAGCATGCTTGAGCCTCCATAATCAAATGTTAGGTGATCAATGTCTGTATGTTAATAAAGGCCTAAATTAAATCTCTATATACAAAACGATGGTGTCTCTTCAAAAGACCACTATTCACATGGATTGTTTTTTGATTTAATAGCTTTATAAAATGTTGAAGCATCAGTTTTGGGCAACTTTCAATGGAAGGACAGAAATCTCTCAGATTTGATTAAAAATATCTTACTTTGTGTTCTGAAAATGAAAACAATTATTATGGGTTTGGAACAACATGACAGAATTTTTATTTTGGGCTCAGCTAACCCTTTAAGGAATCCAACAACCTACATGTCTACATTTTTACATTTTTCCAAATATCTGTACATGAGGAGACTCTCAATCATTGGGACTCGAAGGGAACTAGTTTGTCTCTGTTTACACCAATTTCTATGAAGCTGGCCATCCTAATTCTTCAGATGTCAAACCCGTAATCATGCTTCTCATCACCAACAACAAATGAGCAAACTATGAACAGAGCACCAATAATGCCTGACTGTTTTGTCGTGGACTGAGCTTCTGTGAAATGAGACTGAAACACGGCTGCGGCGAGCAGTGAGCGGTCACCTGTGGATCGCGTCGGGAGGTTCTGGACTCTGATGCCGAAGCTCCTCCGCGGCTCGTCGGAGTCCAGCGCGAGCACAGGAGGAGCCGGAGGAGCGTGTGTGGCCGTCGACTGCACCGAGCGCGCTCGCGACCCTTCACTGGAGCTGCTGTTCGAATCACTGCTGAAAGAAAACAAGACAAGAACCCGGTTCAGACAAACCCACCACAGCAGATACGCCATGAACCGAAGACACCCACTAACAGTGGACAACAAACAAACCCAATGCTATCTAGAGAGATGTCCATTTAGAACGAATGTGTGCTTTTACACATACTGAAGTGTTGACTGTATTCAAAACATATTGTTTTGTAATGTATGGGATTTAAGTGTATGACTACAAACTGACATTATAACATTACACAGTGACCTCCACTAATATTGGCACCCTTGCAGGGCTCCAGACTGCGACCATTTTTCTGCCTGTGCGACTAGATTTTGTGTACGGTCGCACTGGCACGACCACTGCGTTGTTTAAAGGGGTCCTATTATGCTCTTTTACAAAGTCTTGATTTTGTTTTGGGGATGTGCCAGAACATGCTCTCATGCTTGGTGGTTCGAAAAACGCATTATTTTTCACATAATTTACATTATTAAAATACCTTTCTCCCCAGCCTGGCACAAACGGCTCGATTAGTTCCGGCTTTGATGAAGGTCCGCCTTCCGAAAAACTAAATGTGTTGTGATTGGTTAGCTGTCCCAGTGCGTTGTGATTGGCGAACAGCTTAGACGGTGTTTCAGTACTGCCACGCCCCTTGCTCCGTCTTTCAACAAAAGCTTTTGGCGAATCCGGCACTGTACTCACTCGTGTTGTGGAAGCCGTCCTCAGTAAAATGCGCAGCACACAATAGCAAATTGGGGTTATAATGCTCAGGAACAGAGTTAAAAAATAAATTGCAACCACTGTTTCCTGACATCATCCACTTTCGGAAGCCCAAACAAAGACGTTTGGGCACGGAGGTGAAAAAAACAGCATTTCAGGCGGTCGCACACCGGACGAGAAGCGCAGCGTCGCATCGCGCCACATCTTTAAAATTCAAATACATTATTTTCTATGAGTGTAGCACACCGGCGGCGCCGTTCGGCATCTGTCCGCGGCGGCCAGCTACGTCGTGTTATACTTGTAAGAATTGTTCTAGACATGCCGAAAATGTGAAGCTACAGCACAGCAGCTCTTCTTCCGAGTGTAGAGCCTGGTTTATACTCGCCGCGTCAGCACGAGAGCGAAGCAAAAATGACGTGAATATTGAGGAAATGATGGATGGTTTTCACGCGAAAGTAAACTAAAAGACCGCTTATTAAACCAGAGAAGGTGAACATGTTTGTATTCTTGTGGGGAAAAACATGCGAGCGCGGTCACCAACAGCAAGTTTAGTTTTACTTTTCTTTTTGTTTTCGTTTTGAAAAGCTTGTCTTTGCTGTCAAGCAAAACAGATGATTATCTATTCTTGTAAAACGTGACGACAAGATCGCGAATTCGAAAGCGAAAGCGTCCAAATCCCTGCTTATAACACAGCAAAAGAGGAACTCCCGTTCACAAAATTCAAATCACAAATACAGAACATAAACTATAATAAAAGTTCATCAGCAAGCATTGATTAATCCCATGTTGTAGTGCAAAAACAACATTGCGACCAAATCATGTGCTCGTGCGACCAGCTGAGCAGAGTCTGGAGCCCTGCCTTGGTAAATTATGAGCAAAGGTGGCTGTGAAAATAAATGCATCGTTTATCCTTTGATCTTTCATTCAAAAAATTCACAAAATTCTAACCTATCATTGTACGTTGGAAAATCTAAAATAAAACCCAGAAAAAAAAATCTACACAAATCAAAGCAGAAATTGGCATGACCTGCAGCCCAATGCTGCTACTTCCTAACTTCTCATTTGCCATCGTAGACACTCATCGTTTACTTTTAACTGCTACTTACGCATTTCAGATATCAGTCGTCACCACAAGCAAGAAGATTTGACATCTGATATGTATTATTATCATCTCCCTTTTTTTACAACTGGAACTATGTCACTACATTGATAAGATGGGCATTTAAATAATATATAGTATCATCAAACTAACTTACCTGCTAGATAGCTAGTTAACACTAGGCAAGGCTTGAATTTGCGACCATTTTAGTCGCATATGCTCCTGAAATTTCATCTGTGCGAGCTAAAAATATATTTGGGAGCATTTGTACGAGTGCATATAATTGTTGTGGTGCGACCAAAAGTTACAGTCTATGGGTGCGACCTGTTTTCTACAAAACTTTCGCAAATTATTACTGCACGGTATGTGCCTTATGTGCGCTGATACAGTGATCAGCCCACCGTTCTATCCAACATTGCATAACCAATTAAACTGCATCTTTACGTTCTTAACTTTAACGCAGACCTTAGATTGGTTCATATTTGCCGTCAATCACCATCTTTCATTGCGCTCCGTTGTCACGTGACAGGGGGGTAACTACCGCGCGAAATTGAGCTGAATAAGAGAGTGAGAGAAGATGAAACGAACGCTGACAGATTTCTTTCGTAAAGCACCTAAAGTCACAAATAATCCTGGAGTTGGTGATGTGGTTAATGTGGACCCACCAGCTGAAAAGAAGTCGTACAGCTTTAGAAGAGAGTGGCTAAAAGACTTCGAGTGGCTCCGCTATGTTGACGGCTCAATGCACTGCATTCACTGTAAAGCCTGTGGGACAGAGTTTACAGGTAACACAGTGTTTGCCCTTGAATCAACTCATTTTAAGCGCGAGAGCTTAGTTAAACATGGAGAGAGTGCCAAGCACAAGAAATGCAGGGACAAGTATGTG